TTTATTTGATATCACTGTATCTGCATTAATTGACCCTGGATCTACCTTATCATACATATGTGTACCTATGCCTGTTACATCTGACGTCGCTAAGGAAACTCTTGAGCACCCGGTAGTTGTGTCGAACCCACTGGGACACAGTCTACGTCTCCAACATGTCTATAATCAATGTCCGTTATTGGCTCAAGGAAAGGTATTCTTAGCTGATCTCATTGAACTCCCTCACAAGGAGTTTGACGTTATACTTGGCATGGACTGGTTGTCAATACACCAGGCTATTGTCGAGTGCAAGGAACGAGTGGTGAANTCGTGAAGGATTTCTCTCGAATCGCTACACCACTTCATAAACTGATGAAGAAGGATGTCAAGTTCGCTTGGACAGATGCTTGTCAGAAAAGCTTTGAACAGTTGAAAGAATGTTTGACTCACGCACCTGTGTTAGTTCAACCGACACCTGGTACTGAATATACAGTTTTCAGCGACGCATCACATCAGGGACTTGGGTGTGTACTGATGCAAGAAGGTAAGGTCATAGCTTATGCATCACGGCAACTGAAACCTCATGAGTGCAATTATCCAACTCATGACTTGGAGCTAGCAGCTGTTGTTCTTGCATTGAAGATCTGGAGGCATTACTTATATGGCGAGACGACTCGCATATTCACCGACCATAAGAGTCTACAGTATTTGATGAGCCAGAAGGAGTTAAACCTTCGACAGAGAAGGTGGCTAGAGTTGATTAAGGACTATGACTGTCACATCGCTTATCATCCTGGGAAGGCGAATGTGGTAGCCGATGCTCTTAGTCGAAAGACTCTTGCTGAACTCCGCATACGACCTACGTTGGATCAGGATATCATTTCAGCACAGCATCAGGATACTTTTTGTCTCGAGACACGTAAGCTTGTTTCCAAAGGAGAGAAACAAGACTTCTCTGTTCGAGATAATGGTACACTATACTATCGAAATCGTTTGGTAGTACCATCAGGTGATGTGAGAGATCGCTTATTGCGTGAAGCTCACGGAACTGTGTATACCATGCATCCCAGAAGTAACAAAATGTTTCAGGATCTGAAGAGACACTACTGGTGGTCAGCTATGAAAAGGGAGATTACCGAATTCACATCGAGGTGTATGACTTGTCAGCAAGTCAAAGCAGAACATCAGGTACCCACAGGACTTTTCCAGCATATCACTATTCCTGAGTGGAAATGGGACCGCATTACGATGGATTTCGTAATCGGATTACCATTGTCCCCGAAGAAGAATGATGCGGTATGGGTTATTGTTGATCGTTTGACAAAGTCAGCGCATTTCTTACCAATTCAGCGAGATTTTACACTTCAGCGTTTGGCCGAACTGTATATCCGCGAGATTGTCAGGCTACATGGAGTACCATCGTCTATCATATCAGACCGCGATCCTCGATTCACTTCCCAATTTTGGAAGAGATTGCAGAAAGCTCTCGGTTCCAAACTACATTTCAGTACAGCGTTTCATCCTCAGACTGACGGACAGTCTGAGAGGACTATCCAGATTCTTGAGGATATGATGCGAGCGTGTGTCATTGATTTTGGAAACAATTGGGAAAAATATCTTCCTCTGATGGAATTTGCCTATAACAATAGCTATCAGGCAAGTATTGAAATGGCTCCGTATGAAGCACTGTACGGAAGGAAGTGTCGAACACTAGTTTGTTGGACTGAGCTGAGTGAGAGGAAACTCGAGGGTCCAGAACTCGTGCGCGAAACAGAGGAGAAAGTTCAGTTGATCAGAGAACGACTTCAGATAGCAGCGGACAGACAGAAATCTTATGCAGACCTCAAGCGACGCGATATTGAATATGTTGTTGGTGATAGGGTATTCTTGAAAGTTTCTCTGTGGAAGAAGGTTCTACGTTTTGGCAGGAAGGGGAAACTCAGTCCAAGGTTTATAGGCCCATACAAAATTTCAGAACGTGTGGGACCTGTAGCCTACAGGTTGGAATTACCGCCAGAACTAAACAAGATTCACGATGTTTTCCATGTATCCATGTTGAGGAGATACAGATCCGATCCATCTCACGTTATTCCAATCGAGACTGTCACTCTGGATGAAAATCTTTCCTATGAAGAGGAACCTGTACAGATCCTTGCACGAGAAGTTCGAGTGTTGAGAAACAAGACTGTACCCTTGGTTAAGGTGCTTTGGAGGAGTCACTCTGTCGAAGAAGCAACCTGGGAAACTGAGGAATCCATGCGATCTCAATATCCACAACTTTTCAGCGACCAGTGATCAGGTAATTTCGAGGACGAAATTATTTTTAAGGGGGAGAGAATTGTAACGCCCCGAAATTAGGCCTAAAAGAATTAATTAATTTAAATATTAATTAACAACTTAGACAGACCCGAACACTGAAAAATAAAAGTTTTCAGAAAAATATTTTAATTATATCAAAGTTTTAGTTTTGACAGTCTGATTCCAAAAACGCGATCCATTTTCAAAACGGAACAGTTTGGGCGAAAAAGCGCGTACCGTTTTAGCCAGTTTATCAGTTACGGAGTAGGAGAATATTTTTAATTCTCCAAAGTCTTCAATCACGCAGCCTCAATCTCCTTAAATCCTCAATCAAGCCACCCTACACCCACTAATTCATCCACTAGCATAATACCTCCAAAGGTGGAGTGTATTAAATATTAACTCCTTCTCCACTTTGTCAATTCCACACTCTCAATCCCTCTGCACACTCTCTCTCTGTCGGTCAGTCACAAAGGAGGAGGAGAAAGGATTCCATCTCCATTGTTGAGCCAAGAAGAAGAAGAAGGAGCAAGGAGAAACATCAAAGTTTCTAAAATCCTGAGTGAAAAACGCAGCAGCAACTTCTTCGTAAATTCTGTAATTCTCTATTCATTTTCTC